TTAAATTATTTATCATCATTGTATTTTTCTTTACATTTACTTACTGGTATAGTAAATTTAAAATCGAAAATGAAATCAATTATTCATTATATTTTTTAACTTAAAAACATTAACTACATCATCTATGAAAATAATAGTCCAAATCTTCTTACAGAGGAAAGGTATAGTCTAGTAAGAGTAATGATCTCTTTTAATATTACTGCAGACTTATAAGATAAGATGAATAGATGCGTTAAATAATATTTTTTCTCATTTTTTATTATTTATTTGTCTACTAAATACTATATAAAAATAAATATATTAAATAAAATCAATATAATTAAAAAAAATAACCAGGCGTGTAAATTTTCTCGACAGGCATTCTCAACGACATAGGAAATCTGTAAAAGCAATACACACTAAAAATTGTGCTCTCAAAATTGCTTTCGTCTGGTTATACGTATCTAAATGGCCTATATAAAACTCATGTATCTCTGTAACGAAAGAAATTTATTTGGTGTTTAAAAATAGTAATAAATAGCAAGGCGGGCGTGTAGATTTTCTCTGCAGGTGTTTATAACTGTTAACCATAGAAAGTGCAAAATATTTTTTTTGGTTCAAATATTTGAAAAATATATAACTTAATTAATTAGTAAACATAATTATATTAAATATAGTAAATTTAATCTATGGTCCGAGTTTGTTATGGTCCGGCTTTGTGTAGTCCGAGTTTGTTATAGTCCGAGTTTGTTATAGTCCGACATTGTTTTGGTCCGACCTATCAGTAAATCGATCCAACGAGTATCTTTTGGTCCATAAAAGACATACCTTTGCATGCTTATTTTCATGATTATAACATGTTTTAGAGTACATACCGTTAAAAATTCAATAACCAATATTTAACATAGATACGTACAATCTTATATTTTATTTAGTTGTGCACAAAAAAAAAAAAAAAAAAAAAAAAAAAAAACCGTCAGATTTAGATTAAAATTCGTAACGAAAATAAAAAAAATATTAAAGTTTTATAAGATTATTTTTGACAATTTTCTCGGGAAAATCATAAACAAAATGATGTAAAATATGCCTACGTCTTTCAGAAAAAAATCACAAAATACCGTAAAGTCTTAATATCAATTCTCAAAATCTAAAGATTGGAATTTTATCTATAAGGTTAACAAAAACACATACTTTATTATGGCTGACGAAATAAATTTTACATAACAGCCTTTTAATTGAACATGTATTCCCCCATTTTGGGGATATCATTTTTTAACTTTCATGATTTGCAAAATTTAGCCACATAATTTATATAATCCTTTAAAAGCTTACCCAAGGCTTTGGCTAAAAGTTCAAGTTCATATGAATACTGGGATTGCTTTAAATATAGATGCTTTAAAAATAAAAATGGAACTCGTAAATTAACTTACCTTGTTCGTGGTCATTTGCAAAATTATCTTGTTGAAAACATTTAGATTTAACACACAAGTACTCTGAAGATGTCATAAAAATGATTGACAATATCTATGTGGTTCTTGCAGAACAGATCTTCCAACACTGTTGGAATTCCCATGGGTACCAATTGTGCCCCGATATTAGCAGCCCTTTTTTGTATTAATATGAAGCAGAATTTGTCCATAATCTTATGCGTGATAAGAAGAAAACATTAGCTGAAGAACTATAGCTCTCCGAAAAAATATATTGACAGACCGGAGAGCTACAGTGCCACCCATTGTTAAAAACAGTATATATTTTGCGCACAAATATTTGCGCTTGGTTCTGGATTAATTCTTCCAAATTCTGAAATCAATTAATTGCAAAAAAGCTAAATTTAAAAAATACTTACTTTTATATCAAGTACTCTCGTAGTTGACATCTGCAGAAAGCGCGTAAGACCGAATTATCTTGCAAACAAAAATGGCAGGAGAAATGGACTAAACTTTTTATTATCTCAATTTAAGGGCCAGGAGGGCTATTACCAAAAATATAAGGAATGTTTTGTTGTGGAAACAGTGAAAGAATATGTTAAGATCACACGGTTAGTAATATCACAGGAGTCTGAAGTTTTTATTGTAAAAAAAAAATAATAAAAAATAATAAAAATAATAACAATCCGGAAAAAAATTCCTACCTTTAACTAATTTTTTTTTTTTTTACAATAAAAACTTCAGACTCCTGTGGTAATATATTGAGATGACAGTTTGAAAACAATGAGAAATAAATCGAGAAACAGCGCACTTTTTGTGCGCAATAGATATACATGTACATTTTTTTCGATGGGTGGCACTGCAGCTCTCCGGTCTGTCAATATATTTTTTTCGGAGAGCTACAGTTCCGCAGCTAAGACAACACTTGCTGTGGCCTTCAACTCGACATTTAGATATATCGTCGACGTATTGTCAAGAAACAATGGTTATTCCCATTCTTATGTCGATACGACTTATCCCGGTGAGCTTGAGATAAAAGATACCACAGAATCTGACACATCTGTTTTTATATTAGGATATTTTACTTAAAAAGACGTTAATGGAAATCTAACAACCAAACTATGATAAACGTGGTGACTTGACCTTTTCAATCGTCAACTCCGCTTACTTATGCAGCAATATACCTTCATCACCTGCATACGTGGTACTAGTATATATCTCTCAGTTGATTCGATACACAAGGGAATGCTCTACATATGTACAAACAAGGTAAAGTATTGACAAATAAGTTGATGAAACTAGAACTGTCCAATAGGGACAAATACCTGGTATCAACGCTGTGTTTTTCAGAGAAGGTGCCAATTCACAAATATTTTATGGATGAAAGAGGTGTTAACAACTTTATCAAAATAAAAAAAATTAGAGTGGAAATATAATTGCTCATTATATTTTTTAATGAATGAATCTAATTAAGATGAAACTATATCAAATCTATAGCTAATACACTGTAATTCCAATGTAACAGTTTTATTATTTCAATGAATAAAATGAATTGCAACTAATTGTCATGACACTCTGCAAATTCATTGCTGAAAAAAAAATCATATTACACAAAATCTAATTAATCTTTATATCTTAATTTATATAACAATTTTTTTAAATAAAAAGCTGGTCATCCAGTAATGAAGTGCTTTGACAGACAATAAATTACAGTGAAAAGAATTAGAGAAAAGAGATCTCTATTATAATTCTTTTTTCTCAAATTCCCAGGAGATATACTAGTAGGTAACACATGCACATGCTTGATCAGAGATGCCTTCACAACTTCCCACATGTCCCACATCAACCTCATTAATTTATTTTTAACTGGATGCATGTCCACTTGTTACTCCTAAAGGACGAATGGATTCATACTATATCTTCTGTGTAATGTTGAAAACTGTTTTTAACACATGATGGTGTTTCTTTTTCATTTTAGTTTTAATGATTAGTTTTAAGCCGTAGTTCACATTTTTGTACATATGTACAAATTCACAAAAATGAACTAAACCTAGTTTCACAATTGATAAACTAGGTTTATCGACTGTAAACTATAGTTTACAAACCATAAATTATAGTTAACGATTCGTTAAGTATAGTTTTCATCTGTAAAACTATATTTAACGCTTGTTAACTATAGTTTACGAATGCTAATCTAAGTTTATCTGTCTGTAATAAAACGTTAACAATAGATTTTGTTGATAAACATAGATTCACGTCTGTAAACTATAATTTACGATCGTTAACTATAGTTAAGAGTTGTAAACCATAGTTTACAAATCGTGAAACTGTGTTTATCAGATAATCTATGTTTTGCGATCGCAAATGATTGTTTTTGGTCTTAAGTATAGTTTACGGTTGTGAAACATAGATTATCGCGTTAACTATGGTTTACAAACGTAAAATATAGATTAACGTTGTTAACTATAGTTAACAGTCCGTAAACTATATAGTTTACAACCGATAAACCTAGTTTATCGATTGTGAAACTATGATTAGCTCATTTTTGTGAATTTGGCGTGCTAAACATACATGTACTAGTAGTTTCACAATTGATAAACTAGGATTATCGACTGTAAACTATAGTTTACAAATCGTGAACTATAGTTTACAATTCATTAAGTATAGTTTTCATCTGTAAAACTATATTTAACAGTTGTTAACTATAGTTTACGAATGCTAATCTAAGTTTATCTGTCTGTAATAAAACGTTAACAATAGATTTTGTTGATAAACATAGATTCACGTCTGTAAACTATAATTTACGATCGTTAAATATAGTTAAGAGTTGTAAACCATAGTTTACAATCGTGAAACTGTATTTATCAGATAATCTATGTTTTGCAATCGCAAATGATTATTTTCGGTGTGAAGTATAGTTTACGATTGTTTACAGATGTAAAATATAGATTAACGTTGTTAACTACAGTTTACAGTCCGTAAACTATAGTTTACAACCGATAAACCTAATTTATCGACTGTGAAACTATGTTTTGCTCATTTTTGTGAATTTGGCGTGCCATACATATGTTCTAGATTCTATGTTTCAAACCTTGTACATAAACCAAAAATGACCAAGTCAATAAAAATTGAAAATAACACCTGTAAAATACAGACAAATTATCAAATAAAGTTGAAAATACCAGGTGCACACCTTCATAATAACTTCATATGCTGTGCACCTGGTCTCTTTAATTTAGTCATCATTTCGTAAGTTCAATGGTCGATACAATGCAATTTATTGCTGAGTCAAATGCTGACTGCTGATGCCTTTCAGTTAGCCCATAATCATGATAATTTACATGTATACAGAATTGAAGACTGATTTTTCCGTTATTTCCCGACCATGAAAAGGAGCACACGGCGGGTATGACCGGTTGTCGGGGGATGTTCACTCCTCCATTGCACCTTTTCCCACCTGTGATATGTTGCAGGTCCGTGTTTGCTCTGCTCCAATTTTGTATTGTTTTATGGAATTTTGTGCTTGAATACTGATCATTATCTACTTATATTTCATACATTCTGAAGTCTAAACCTTCAACAAATAACGCAAGATTGTCAGACATGTATATATACTGTACTTTCAAAATCATTTATTCAAAATTCTTATGAAATGAAAACGTAATGATGTACATGTCATGAGTATGTGTAATACGCTGCCTGGCTAATTGAGTTATACAATGAATTTCAATACACACAAAAAAGATGCTGACATCAAACTTTTACAATGTCCGCACAGGTCATTATATGGCACTTTAAATATAGGATCCCTGCTTTAAAACTGTTAAGAAAAACAAGAGACGTCATCTTCTTTGGAATCTACAGAAACATATGCATGTTATTTCATATACGTGTGGTAAAGATCGGAATGAAAGGGCATTTTCAACCAATGGTTGCGATGCAGACGCAGATCAAAATGATCATGCACGTGTCGTAGGCACGGTCAATTACAAATCCCGCCAATGAGCGTGCAGAAAACAGGCAATGTGATATGTCAATCAAGATTATCACCATGGAGATTAAGATGCCCCTCACAACGGCATCCAGGCAAGATCCAGATCTCAATAATGGACTGCAACAGAAAGTTATCTAATTATAGTCAGTCATCTTAGTATGCAAACTCATCTGAATATCATTGTAAAAAGTGCAAAATTACAGATGAAAAAATGGGTTTCAGAGAACTTGGGTCCAACTCGACTCATCAGACTAAGCTTAAAGCGGTGTTATCAACCACCCGGAATCACGAATACTTCAAATACCGTCTTCTAAGTACAAGTGTATAAACGTTTTCCTTTAACTGCAGTGCAAATTCTGATTTTTTTTAATTTGCTCCCATGTTATATACAGATTGGAAAGTTTATCTTAACCAGTTTCTTATTCATTTTTTTTTTAATTTGCATTTTTTAAAAAGAATAAATATAAAAATAAATACTAATATCTTCTTATATTATATCTTCTTATGTGAAAACATACATGCATATGATTGCTAAAAGTATTACAAGCACTCTTTAAATAAAGGAGATAGATTTAGCTCCTAGGGCCTGTAAAGTTTGAATTCTTACCCAAGGGCAAAATTAATGAGGAAGCACAGGAGACCATTGGTGAGAACGACGAGGTACATCGCCCTGTTGGCGCCCACGGTGGCTTGGATCTCCGGCTCTGTCTTACCAGGGTAGGCGGTCTTCATCCAGGCATTGCCGAAAACCCGGGGGTGGTACCACACGGCCCCCAGGATTTCAGAGCAAATCATCCCCACAATAGCTCCGTACACCATGGTCTTCAGAAAAATCCAGGCACTGATATTCAAGCTGTTAAAAGGTTATGGGTCTAAAATATTTAGCATCAAACCTGTGTTTATATTTTATATATTCATTACATAATTGGAACATTGTGTATAGATTATACCAGTAATAATGTCAAACTTTAGGACTTATGTAAAAAAAAAATTGACAAAAAATTCTAGGCTTATCAGTTAACTGGAAGAGCTACACCATGTACATGCCAATTGGATCATATCAGGACTTTCCTTTCTTGACACAGCTTCTTCTTAATGTATAAAAAATGTCAGATTTTTCACATGATTTTCGCAAAAAGTTCGATTCCTTGCACAGGGGCTTGCTCCCGGCGTATAATAATTATTTATTAAAAAATCATATACCCTAATAATAAAGGGGCTTGCTCCCGGCGGATAATAATTATTTATTAAAAAATCATATACCGTAATAATAAAAACTGTAGTTTTATCATTATGGTATATGATTTTTTAATAAATAATTAATAAATTATTATACGCCGGGAGCAAGCCCCTGTGTAGTTTTATTATCACGGTATATGATTTTTTAATAAATAATTATTATACGCCAGGAGCAAGCCCCTGTGATTTCTTGAAAGAGAGAAATTGCAAACGTGAACCCCTCCCTCCTCCCACATACCGTAATTAAATCTTTTTGTTTCCCTTTTTTACTTTCAAATACTATCAAGTAGAGTAAATGTATGTTCCGCTGTGCCATAATTTTCAAGCGGTGTACGTAGAGTGTATACTAGTACTGATCTGATATGTGCGTGGCCTATTGCATGTATTGATAAAATGTTATAAACTGCATGCTTGACCGAGATATTGCTACCAAGGAAAACTTTGTGTAGTAAGTTCAGCGAAGAACCTGGCTACTTTAGGTAGAGCTTCTGTTTCCTTGCTTTGTAAAAATATCACATGCTTTTGTAACATACAGCATTATTATGTTCCCCAAACGAAGTTTGGGAACATATTGTTTTTACTTTTTCTGAATTTTTTCTTTGTTCTCCGGTACTTTTTTGTCCGCGAGTGTTCTCGTAAACTACTCATCCGATCTAGGTGAAACCTTTTTAGGGTCACTAGGTATGTTATGTAGATGTGCGGAACGAAGGTCATTTTGCGCGCACGTGCGTGCAGGTGCGCGCACGTGTAACACGTGAAATGACCAATATAATAGATTTAGCCGTAACTTTTTAAATATTGGATGAAATGCTTTGAAACTCATAATGTAAGGATATAATAGTAGTATAGACATGATGACATGGTCAAAATAGCAAGACCTCACGCGCATGCAGGTGCCCTTCGCTGCGATTGGCTGAAACTTAAAGTCTAAATATCTATTTTGTTTTCTGACAAAATCCTTTGAAATTTTGAACATAGTCTTACATTATGAAGATCTACAGCATGATATATAAGAATAATCATGAACGCACGCACATGCACGTGTGCTGCAGTCTGATTGGCTAAAACTTTAAATGCCTACAACTTTCTTGGTTCTCAATAATACAGGGTGAAATTTCAAATATGAATAGATATAATGATTGCCTACATTATACTACTATAAAAAGTAAATACATGGACGTGCATGCACATGCGACCGCACACAATGTATTAAAAGACAGTATACTTGAGTGTTTGATGTTCATGCAGAATTAAGAACTTCTAAATGTCAAGACATGTAACATACTGAAGCATGCAGATCTTTTTACCCTTGACCTTGAAACTTAGGTCAAGGTCACTGGTAACCTGAATAAAATGTTGATATTAACTATTTTAACAAAATCACCTTGACCTATGAACTTGAAATCGACCTTAACCTTTGTCCTTGACCCAAGGGTAAAAAGAAACATGAAGTACATGTACATGTATCTAGAAACACCTTTCAGAGTTTATTTCGGTTGACAGGTTAGAAGTTAAAGAGGTGGTGGTTTTTAATGACCTTGACCTTTCATCCAAATGTCACAATCAATCTTAAGTTCTTGGAATAAGATACAAGATTCAACTCCAACGTTAAATAGGTTAAGAATAAAAATAACACCCCCCCCCCCCCCCCCCCCACACACACACAAACAAATCAAATTAATGGCAACGTAGAGAATCACTGTTAAACTCAAATAACACCTCGGACCCACATAAAATTTCAGGAAAACTGCAGAAAAGAGCTCGAGGAAAGTGTATTAAAATATTTCATTTGAGTTTCCAAAGTATATAGAAATTATTAATTTATACAGAAAAAATTACAAATCCTGTCGTGTTTAAAATTAAAGTGCAGATGACCAAAGTTGGCATATAAGCCTTTTATAGCCTATTTATTCAGATTTCGTTAATAGCATTCAATTCTACTAATTTGAAATAATATTTTAATACCAAGCATCCTTTGTTTAATTTACCTTTGAAATTTATTTGAATTTTTTTTAGAATTACGCAATCCCCAGAAATAGCGATTTTCGGTATATTAAAAAATCAATATACATGTACGCTCCTTCGTAAAATAATCAGATATTTGCATTCATGAAAAAAATATTAATAAGAAGGTGTTAAACAATATAGGTCACATTAGCTGACACGAATGTCTTTTTAAACATCTCTTGTAAAACCCAGAGCGTAGCCCCCTATGCATTGGAAAAAATGAATAGTTCCGGTCAAAAAACCTTTATATATTTATTTACAAAGTATATAAAATTTACCAGGCACGGGTATCAGAGTTGTCAAAATGGCCTGAGAGGAAATATTTAAAAAATTCTGAACAGAAAGGAAAATCCCTTTTCCATGTATGGAACTACTATTGAATATAACCAATCCCGAGCCCGATCTTAAAAACACGGTAGTAGAAAATTAGAATTTTGCTGTTTTATTAATTTTTTTGCTTTTAACTTCTTTTCTTGAAGCCAAATGATATGAAAACACTCAAGAAGGTGAAAAGACTTCATATTGTTATCTGAATTGAAATCAAAATTGTAATCTGAACAATTAGTCTCCTTATTATGTTCCCCAAACGAAGTTTGGGAACATATTGTTTTTACTTTTTCTGAATTTTTTCTTTGTTCTCCGGTACTTTTTTGTCCGCGAGTGTTCTCGTAAACTACTCATCCGATCTAGGTGAAACCTTTTTAGGGTCACTAGGTATGTTATGTAGATGTGCGGAACGAAGGTCATTTTGCGCGCACGTGCGTGCAGGTGCGCGCACGTGTAACACGTGAAATGACCAATATAATAGATTTAGCCGTAACTTTTTAAATATTGGATGAAATGCTTTGAAACTCATAATGTAAGGATATAATAGTAGTATAGACATGATGACATGGTCAAAATAGCAAGATCTCACGCGCATGCAGGTGCCCTTCGCTGCGATTGGCTGAAACTTAAAGTCTAAATATCTATTTTGTTTTCTGACAAAATCCTTTGAAATTTTGAACATAGTCTTACATTATGAAGATCTACAGCATGATATATAAGAATAATCATGAACGCACGCACATGCACGTGTGCTGCAGTCTGATTGGCTAAAACTTTAAATGCCTACAACTTTCTTGGTTCTCAATAATACAGGGTGAAATTTCAAATATGAATAGATATAATGATTGCCTACATTATACTACTATCAAAAGTAAATACATGGACGTGCATGCACATGCGACCGCACACAATGTATTAAAAGACAGTATACTTGAGTGTTTGATGTTCATGCAGAATTAAGAACTTCTAAATGTCAAGACATGTAACATACTGAAGCATGCAGATCTTTTTACCCTTGACCTTGAAACTTAGGTCAAGGTCACTGGTAACCTGAATAAAATGTTGATATTAACTATTTAACAAAATCACCTTGACCTATGAACTTGAAATCGACCTTAACCTTTGTCCTTGACCCAAGGGTAAAAAGAAACATGAAGTACATGTACATGTATCTAGAAACACCTTTCAGAGTTTATTTCGGTTGACAGGTTAGAAGTTAAAGAGGTGGTGGTTTTTAATGACCTTGACCTTTCATCCAAATGTCACAATCAATCTTAAGTTCTTGGAATAAGATACAAGATTCAACTCCAACGTTAAATAGGTTAAGAATAAAAATAAACCCCCCCCCCCCCCCCCCCCACACACACACACACACAAACAAATCAAATTAATGGCAACGTAGAGAATCACTGTTAAACTCAAATAACACCTCGGACCCACATAAAATTTCAGGAAAACTGCAGAAAAGAGCTCGAGGAAAGTGTATTAAAATATTTCAATTGAGTTTCCAAAGTATATAGAAATTATTAATTTATACAGAAAAAATTACAAATCCTGTCGTGTTTAAAATTAAAGTGCAGATGACCAAAGTTGGCATATAAGCCTTTTATAGCCTATTTATTCAGATGTCGCTAATAGCATTCGATTCTACTGATTTGAAATAATATTTTAATACCAAGCATCCTTTGTTTAATTTACCTTTGAAATTTATTTGAATTTTTTTTAGAATTACGCAATCCCCAGAAATAGCGATTTTCGGTATATTAAAAAATCAATATACATGTACGCTCCTTCGTAAAATAATCAGATATTTGCATTCATGAAAAAAATATTAATAAGAAGGTGTTAAACAATATAGGTCACATTAGCTGACACGAATGTCTTTTTAAACATCTCTTGTAAAACCCAGAGCGTAGCCCCCTATGCATGGGAAAAAATGAATAGTTCCGGTCAAAAAACCTTTATATATTTATTTACAAAGTATATAAAATTTACCAGGCACGGGTATCAGAGTTGTCAAAATGGCCTGAGAGGAAATATTTAAAAAATTCTGAACAGAAAGGAAAATCCCTTTTCCATGTATGGAACTACTATTGAATAAGTTCATTTTGATTGGTTAGGTATTGGCGTGATACCCTTAGTCGACTTTAACCCTGCCTTGTCATCGGAATAAAACCAACTTTGAGCCCGAGGTTAAAATAAGTAGAGAAATAAAATGTGAATCGATATATTAAAAATATGACATATGCTTGAAAAATGGTAAATTTATATATGTATTTTTTTCTTTGATTCGCGGGATAGAAAGATATGTTAATCGCTTAATCAACATGCCATAATCATCTTGCATATGCATGTACATGTACGTGTGCGCGCATGCAAAACGTTAAACAATATATCGTTGATAGTTGATATCATTGTAACTTTTATATTCTTAAATGAAATCTTGGGATACTTAGCAAATTTATAAAAGGTCTTAGAGGAATAAGGCACGATAAGGGACATGGGGAGCGTTTGGGGAACATCTGTAACGGTCCCCGTTACAATTAGCACTAGTTATTATTAATATATATACACAGTACATCATTTGTCCTGCATTCGACTTGTATAAAGCAAGTGACATACTTATATAATTTTCCCGCGCTTTTAAAACCAATGTTCTGAAACTTGACTAAAAATCGCGATACCAAAGAATATTAAATATACAATTTATGTCGGAGTTTTAAAACCTATTTCTTGTGTAGATATTATAGGAAGACTTAAATTAATTGTTACCTGTTATCGGTGAGAATCTGAGCCCGTGACAGACTGGTGTGTACACCCCTCAACCGTCGTCACTGGAATGTAAACATTGACGCGCGGAGGGAAATTCCTCTCTAGCCCACGGCTGTTACGAGGCGGATCATAAGACTTGTATACAATACGGGCGCGGAACAGGCGCATCCATGGATCGTTTGACTGATTTATAAAACAGTATAATTCACATACCTTTGTTGACAATGACAAATGTAATAAATTTAATTAAACAATACAAATGAAAATCATATTTATAAATTAAAATCATAAACATTCCCCAACGAAATGAACTTCAGAATATGCATAATGAAGATTAATGAAGTAAAATCGGTCTGCAGCACTAAAAACTTGTTTGAATGATGTGTTTGCATACCATGTTTATTTCCATTCTATATCATTCTATTGTTTTAAATAAAGGGACAAAACGTAAATTCCCTTTTCAATTGTCCTCGCTGAAAATCGGAGATTTAATTTCGTCTGTGGATCCGTCCGTCTATCTAACTGTCTGTAGTTATGTCTGTCTGTATAACGTTCAAATTCGTTTCCACACGATATTTCAAGAAGGCTTCGAGCTTTTGCAATGAAATTTACCCAATTACTCCCTATATATTTCCATTTCTAATTTTTCTCTC